TATTATTATTTATTATTGTATTATTGTATTATATTCATTCAGAAAAAAATTTTATATAAATATTTTAAAAATAGAAATAAAAACAAAAAAATAAAATAAAAGGATCATATACATGGAATAAATGGTTTATATTAAATTTTAAATTAATTCATAGCATGGATCCATTACAGTTTCTTTACAACAGTGTATGGAACGAATAATCCTCTTGTCAACTTAAATTTGGATTTGTAATCTATTTCACTAAACATATTGGCATCTTTTGTGGAGAATTTCTCTGTTATATATTCAAACATGTAATAGTTATTTTAGAAATTGTTTATAAACTAAATTATCTGTTTCTTCTACACAATGATAACCAAGTTTATTTTTAAATTTTTCAAATGCTTCATAGTCTTGTAATGGAACTTGTATGCCAACCAACACTTTTCCTATATCTGTACAATTATTTGAATATTATGATTTAACAATTGGTTCTAATAATAATAATGATTATTATTATTATTATTATTATTATTATTGATTATTATTAAAACTTGCCTGAACCATGATTACGATAATGAAATAATGATATATTCCAACTTGATTTCAATCCAGTCAAGAATTTTTTTAATGCTCCAGGTCTTTCAGGGAATTCTAAATATAATATGATATTCCATAAATTATTTCATAAATTACAAATGTATACATTTGTGTATTAAGCAAACAAACAGTACTTTTAGCTTACCAAATCTAAATAATCTTTCATTTTCAACAATACTTCTACCTCCTACCAAATATCTTGCATGACTTTTTGCTATTTCATTATCACTTATATCTTGGCTCTATTACATTCATAGTGATAGCGTTCAATAACTTCACCACTCAATTTCTCACTTCTGGCTGGGTCAAGTGAATGAAGCCAGCACCTCTATTCTCTCTAGAAAAACTGGGGTCTGGGATATGCAAGTAGAATTCACCAAGACGATTAATGGTGAGACAACGTATTTCCTTAATACCTTTGAAGGATGAATAACAATCCTCCAATAGGTTGATCTAATGTGGTTTGTCTTTTTTAGATCCAAGTTTTAATTTAAAATCATCTTTTTTATTTGATTTATAATTTTTTAATAGGTTATTTTATTGCAATAAGGGTATCAAGAGCCCATTTAAGATCACACCGTTGGATGTAAATTCTTGGACCTCCACCGATATAATTACAATGTAAATATTTTTTAGACATTTATTACATCTCCATTTTTTTTTTTTTGATTTTTTCTTCAGTCTAATTTTAAGAATTTTTCTTACTGGAAGTTTTTTTGGAAGAAGACGATGAAATTGTATCTTTAAAATTTCTCCATCACCTTCTTGTGCAAGAGTAATTACCAGATATTTTGAATTACAAAAGAATTTTTAATTTATTATTATATGGGCATGCTGCAACAAAATCAAACAAAATGAACATTTATACTACAATGAATTAAAATTGTTTAATATTTTTTCTGTTATTTTTGTTTTTTTAGAACTAATCCTATAAAATAAAAATATAAATATGAAACTAATTTACATCAGATCTACCATGGAACCCAAAAATTATAGTACAATCAGAAGTCTGAACCTACCAAGATCTTTAACATCACAGGGAGCACATGCAGGCCAAAAGGTTGGGTGTAATATAGCTTATGATCTTGCTTTTACAACACCCTGTAACAAGGTCTTCTGTCCACTGTTCAGTATCTTCCATCAGCCCTTCTGAATTGCAAATACATTATGTGTATGCAAATTGATGAACAAGAAAACAGCAAGGAAGATAAAGATGAAGATGGTGAAAGGCCCTATTTTGATGATGCTATAGATAAATATTTTGAGAGGCCAGGGGATGAGCATTTTCAAGAAATCACATACCCTGATGATTTTCAAAATTACAATATTAGGATCAATCCACCTTGACCACAGTAAACTTTACTGAACAAGATTTGAATAACAGGTATGTCATTAAGAGAAACAAACCCTTACTTTTGAGATTCGCAAATTATAAGGTAGATGATGGGGAGCCCTTCATCATATTATGAAACATCCTGCACATTCTGAGATAGATCCGCTTAGAGGGCATTCAATTTTTACAGGAACCTGTACCTGGTGAGATACAAGCAAGCTATCTTGAGGTTAATAAGAAGCTCTGTTACTAATAGGCGCCAATTTTCTGAAGTGTTTAAAAGGGTAATTGAGTCAGTTTTATCAGATCTGGAAAAGAATGAGCCTTGGGACATTATATATAGTCAACTTATCTCATTGGAAAAGCCTTCTCTTCAAATGGTCTCTAGCACTTGACAATGAGCAGTACAAAAGTGTATGATGTGTTTATTAACTTGAAAGTGAAGATAAACATACACACTTCTTCATGAATGGGACGGGGAAGACATTCATGACCCTAAAAGTAGTGGATATGCCAAAGAACAAGGAAATTGATTACCTGTTGCTTGCTCCTACGAATGTTGCAGCCCAGAATGTTGGTTGGAAGACTATCCACTCAGCATTTAAAACAAACAACAATCACTATCAAGCCTTGTCCATAGAGACAGAATCATCAATGCAAGCTTTGTTGCAAATAAAAGTCATCGTAATTGATGGTTTCCAGTGAATTGTTTTCATTCCTAAGCAACATTTTTGGCTCATCACACAAGAATCACAAGGCCTTCCTGCTCTTGTGGTTGGTGACTGTGAATGGGGAACATGTCTTCTTTTCATCAGCCTAAAAATTCTTCCTTTCCCTGTTCTTGTCCAAACCACAGTAATGGAAAGTTGACTTGGATTTTTTATCATTTGCTTGAAGAGTAGAGATTAAGGCATCTTTCTGAAAAAAAAAAAAAAAAAAAAACCCTTAAAGATG